AAAAAAAGATGAACAGCTTGTCGATAACAAAAAAAACAGAACTCCTTTAACGTATTGAAAAAAAATTGAATTATCGCAAAGATGCCAAAAAAAACTGTCGTTTTAAATGTTTACGAAAAAAAAAGTCTAATTTCTTAGTAACGAAAAAAAAAATGCAAGATGAAAACGAAAACAAAAAAAAACTAAAGAAATTTATCTTTGTTAAAAATATCTCTTTAATTGATGTATACTAAAAAAAATCTCGATAGTATTGGATAAATAAAAAAAATTTTAACATTGGTCTTGGCGTAAAAAAAACAGGAATTGTCGTACATGGACAAAAAAAAGTATTTAAAATTCCGTTTCGTAAAAAAAAGCGACGATTTTAGGTTCTTGATCATTCAGCCATAATGAAGTCACTGTCTAAAAAAAAAAACAAAAAAACTTTTTATTTCAAAAAAAAATGTAAATAAGTGAATGGTATAAAAAAAAAAACACGTGTGTTTTTATTATAAAAAAAATTTTCAGTGTTATAAACTCATAAAAAAAAATCAAACAAAATCACTGCTTAAAAAAAAAGTTTGAGCTAAAATTGTTTGTAAAAAAAACGTGATATATTTAAAATCTGTAAAAAAAACCGATTATTTCGGTACAAATTAAAAAAAAATGAAATTCTCCCGTTTATTTAAAAAAAAATGCTATGGTAGCTCCTGGAGAAAAAAAATGTGGTTTTTGGTTGGTAAATTTATGCAATTTTATGGCCAGAACTGAGAGAAAAAAAAAAARRAAAAAAAWYYKGSSRAAAAAAAAAWTCTCAGCGTTGAAAAAAGGGTATGTTGATTAACCATTTTGTACAATTTTAAAAAAAATTATTTGCATAATTGAATTACAAAAAAAATGATATGGCTCAACAAGTACCAAAAAAAACCCATACAGGCACTCAACATTAAAAAAAAATTGTTAACAAAGAGATTTTTAAAAAAAATTTTGTTTGGCAGTCATTAAGACTTTTTCCAGAAACAAGGACTATTTCCGAAAAAAAACCAGCTATTCATATAACATTTAAAAAAAAACAAGATCACTCCAAATGAATAAAAAAAAATTCTTTGTGTTGGTTGGAATAAAAAAAATGTTATTCCAAATCCAAGTTTAAAAAAAATTCCTAATCTAACAACGTTAGAAAAAAAATGTATATTAAAGGTGACGCAGAAAAAAAAAGCCAGTTACACATATGTGTGTGAAAATCTGTGAAAGAAGTAGTTTTTCAAAAAAAAAACGACTCTATTTAATAAGCGAAAAAAAAATTTCGGTAGCGCATGCGCACAAAAAAAAAATGAGGAGGGACTTAAATAAAAAAAAAAAAATAAACACACAAGTTTGTTTAAAAAAAAACTGTTGTTTAGTGTTACATGAAAAAAAATTATTAATATTGTGATATATGAAAAAAAATGATATAATTTTTGTTGTTTCAAAAAAAAATATGCCTATGGTGGCCATCCAAAAAAAAGGACAGGAATCTTTGATATGTAAAAAAAAAGCACAGAACTCTTGGGACCAGAATTTAAATTTAGGTATTCAATGTTAAAAAAAAAAAAATACTACCTTAAATACTATTAAAAAAAAATCTTAACCTGCAGCACACAAAAAAAAAATAAAGAGTGAAGAGATGAAGGAAAAAAAAAGACTTGCTCCAAGTTTAGCTAAAAAAAAAATCCTGTGTTCTGATTAAAAAAAAAAAAAATGTTYGATTTTTGAYCACCAAAAAAAAATCAAKCCACGTGGATCGAAGAAAAAAAATTTGAATTCCACCTTGAAATCAAAAAAAAAGAATTGGAGCAAGTCTGGTCAAAAAAAAAATACTTCATTTCCCTTAAGAAAAAAAAAATACTTTTGAAGGAATACATTAAAAAAAATTTATTAATTCAGCATGATGAAAAAAAAATTGCAGTAGATGTATTATATAAAAAAAAATAAACTTTGTTTTACAAATATTTTTACCAATAGCTTTTTTGTTTCTATTGAAAAAAAAGAATCTATTAAGTTAGGAGTTAAAAAAAACACAGAAAATGAATTAGGCGAAAAAAAAAGAGAAATGGGATCCCGGTTCAGTGGAAATTCATATCATCTTGTAGATAAGAAAAAAAATAAATGATGCTTGTTTGATTTAAAAAAAAATAGGGTTACATTTTTACATTAAAAAAAAGGTCTGACCTGCCTGCTTTTGAAAAAAAACATTGCCTGCCATTATATATAAAAAAAAACCCAGTCACCTTCATATGGCTTTGGGAGTTCTGACTGTCCCTAGCCTTTTAAAAAAAACCTATAAACTAGCTAAGAATGAAAAAAAAAATTGACTCCATTAAAAAATAATGCATGATCAATGGTTGGTTTTAAACATAAAAAAAATGCAGCAATTAACCTTATGTTAAAAAAAATCTATAGAAATTGCAATCATTAAAAAAAAGAGTTGGCACAGGTACTGTACAAAAAAAAAAATGTATTTATTTTTCTGCCAAAAAAAAGTTGATTTTGCGTGCTTTTTTAAAAAAAAACACTCACAGCAGCCAACATAAAAAAAAACCAAAGACAGGGATATTTATAAAAAAAAAGTCATTAAGGATGCTCACAGTAAAAAAAATCCCCCAATGCATTATAGAAAAAAAAAAAGGGAGAAAGGATCTTTGGAATAAAAAAAATATAATATGACAAAAGTAGGCAAAAAAAATGTCTGATTTGTTTCTTTTAGAAAAAAAATCAATGGTTTCCATGGTACCTAAAAAAAACTTTTGAAACATTGTTCATTGAAAAAAAACCTCTCCTCCTTTCTTCTTTGGCTCCTTCTCTAGACTCATTAGGGTTGTGAAAAAAAATAACCTTCTCTGTACACAACCAAAAAAAATTGGCTTTTTCCTCTAATTTAAAAAAAAATTTGTTATTGACTAGGAGGAAGTTCCAGACTCTAAATTTTATTAACACAGAAAAAAAAAAGACACGCAGGCTATGCTTAACTAGTATCCTAATGTATCTTTCAGGTATAAAAAAAAAAAAAAATCCCAAACTGGGTTAAAAAAAAAGCCAATGCAGGGTCATATTTTCCATTTCTACTCAAATGTTTACCTAAAGAGTGGATTCGTCCAGAACCTGAATCACCAACTAGTCCTTTATTTCTACATAATACACCAAAAAAAAGTAGGTCATCTTGATATTTATAAAAAAAACTATGGCTCTTGATTCAAGAGAAAAAAAAACTTGATTCTCAAACTATGATAAAAAAAATTTAATTGTGCTGTAGCCATTAAAAAAAATGTTGGTCCACAATTTTCTTTAAAAAAAATTCTTTTTTGCTAATTTCTTAAAAAAAAATTTTTATAATAATATGTCATGAAAAAAAACCTGTGAGCAGTGTGGCCAGAAAAAAAAATGCTTACAAAGTGCGTGTTAAAAAAAAAAATAACATGCTTTGTAATTACTAAAAAAAAAAGCAAAATTGACCAACGTTAAAAAAAAATTACACTAGAAATTTTGTTGTGTGACAGCTGCAATTCATGTTGCATTTTTAAAAAAAATAAACAGTCTACAAATTCACAAAAAAAAATCATGTACAAAGTTCAAGTGAAAAAAAAAGATTTGCACTTAAATTTTGAGAAAAAAAAAAATTGCTGCAATAAAATTGCAAAAAAAAGCTTTGACATCACCATGAATGAAAAAAAAGTGTACAGTACATGCACAATTAAAAAAAAATCTTTGCAACAATTGCAGTCAAAAAAAAACAAGTAATTTGCTGTGTCAAAAAAAAAATACACCTTTTTTAATATTTTTAAAAAAAAATTTCTCAAGAGATGATGCAGAAAAAAAAGCAAATGATAAAAAATGTTAGAAAAAAAAATACATGTAAATACACTTCTGAAAAAAAATGATTTTTACTTAAGGATATTAAAAAAAATAAAATCAGAAAATAATATTCAAAAAAAAAATTAGGGGATATTTATACACAAAAAAAACATATTTGTATCAGCAAAAAAAAAAAAAATGTACCTAAAACACAAAGTCTGGTTGAATAGCATAAAAATAATAGAGCTAAAAAAAAAATACAGACTTAATTGATAATGAAAAAAAATCGTAGTCAAATAGGCAGGCAAAAAAAAAAACTAATATATAAATGAAAACAAAAAAAAAATAATATCTAAAAATAATTTAAAAAAAATGAAGATTGATGCTGATTTACAAAAAAAAACTTGGCAGACATAACAGAAAAAAAAAAAATTTTGAGCCATTTACACAAAAAAAAAAAAAGCTTTAGAAAGAATCTTGCAAAAAAAAGTGTTGCATAGTGTCAATTAGAAAAAAAAAATCCTAAATTTTCCAAACATAAAAAAAAATTTTAGGCCTTGGGGTGACTAAAAAAAAGTTGTACATATAAAATAGTCAAAAAAAAATATTTTGGTTCGATGACTACGAAAAAAAAAACGCACACAAGGCTCCGGGGAAAAAAAAGATAATCTTGATTTATTCTTTAAAAAAAACGGAGCCTTGTCTGCAATTCTAAAAAAAATGGTCACTGAACCAAAATATCAAAAAAAAACTATTCTATGGAAAACACATAAAAAAAATATTAAATTAATTCAATTTATAAAAAAAATCTTTGGTTTGAAATGTTTTTAAAAAAAATTGAAGTGAATGTAAAAATCTAAAAAAAACACTTTGTTTCGAGAGCACAATTTGTATCCTTTGCAATTCAGCAACAATGAAAAAAAAAACTRCAATAGACTTCTAAATAAAAAAAATCACTACTTGATTTGCAATGCAAAAAAAAATAAGTAAACAAAAGAAACCTAAAAAAAATTGTTCAAAACAAATCCTGCAAAAAAAAACTTAAATGCTACATGACGTAAAAAAAAAAGATGCCTATAAGCACCCTACCAAAAAAAATTTTGCAGACAGAATTTAATTAAAAAAAATAAAGTGCATAAGCACGAAACAAAAAAAAGAGAATCATGCATGCTTTATTAAAAAAAACCTATTTTATGTTTTGCCCTGAAAAAAAAAGTATTGAGGACTGTTCAACTGCGTCAGCTACTGATTCACTCAGCTAAGTTGTGGGATCTAGAAATTCTCATGAATGAAAACCATGCTTTAATCATCCTTGTCAAAGTATTCTTCCTCTTCATCTCTCTCGCGAAGTAAAAAAAAATCATATTCATCGCTCATGTCAAAAAAAATATAATCAAAGTCTGTGTCTTTTCCTGTCAGGAACTTGGCTTGCATTGTACTAAGGAATTCTTCTCTGAGCAGTTGTTTTTCTGTGTCATTTGGCACACCTTTAATAGAAAAAAAAACTTGACAGTCTATACACAAAAAAAAAAACTATTCATTAGTTCAATGTAGAAAATTGAAAACTGCAAGATTATCATTTAAAAAAAAACTTTTTAACTAGTTTTCTGTGAAAAAAAAATGGTAATTTAGTTTAGGAAAAAAAAAAACAGACAAAAGACTTAAACAATAAAAAAAAGTTGTAATTTGTTAATAAATTAAAAAAAATTAACAAAAGGAAGATGGAGGAAAAAAAAATATTCTTCTTCRCAGTTCCCAAAAAAAATGTAAGGTATCTATATTGAAAAAAAAAAACCAGGGCTATTCTGGCAAACTAAAAAAAAAGATGGTGATTGTCAAGGAGAAAAAAAAAGTGATGGCTGAACTAAGGCACTTTTTGTTTGGCTACTGAAAATGCCTTTCAAAAAAAACAAAGCGAGACTGCCATTGAGAAAAAAAAGATAGATACYTGTGAATAATCAAAAAAAACTAGGYGTGAAAGAATTATTTAAAAAAAAGCATACTCAATGGTAGCCTCGAAAAAAAACAAAGGCACAGCTGTCTTTCAAAAAAAAACAGGCAACCATAGAAGAGAATAAAAAAAATCCTTCACCTGTTGGGGAATGAAAAAAAAATTAGGGGTGACAGGAAAATAAAAAAAAATGRAAGCCACAWGAGTTCATGAAAAAAAAACATAGTTTTGCAGATTATGTAAAAAAAACACATGRACAATAGTCACCTTAAAAAAAACSTGTGYCATCTTGAAAGGTAAAAAAAAATTTACGAAGCGAGACAACCTTAAAAAAAAAAATGATAGATACCTGTGAATAAAAAAAAGTAGGTGTGAAAGAAGGTTTCAAAAAAAACACGCTGAACGCTYATTTCGCAAAAAAAACAAGGCAYGGCTGCCTTTCAAAAAAAAAAATGGWACTGTGAAGAAGACSGAAAAAAAATCTGMGTGGCTTGCCRTGGACAAAAAAAATTCTGGTTGATTACCCTCCATAAAAAAAAATCCATATCATCATCAGAGTCAAAAAAAACTTCTTCACTAAGCTCTTCCTAAAAAAAATCTTGCTGATATTGATAAATCAAAAAAAATTGTTGCGAATCAAATCTTTGAAAAAAAATATCAGAAAGAGAAGGGTCTGAAAAAAAATCTGCTGTGTCTCTAGCTACTAAAAAAAAATCCGTGAGGTACTGTCCTATAAAAAAAACGTAAAGAAGAGGATCCCGTTAAAAAAAATCACTCTCATTGAAGTAATCAAAAAAAAATGTAAGTCTTTTAAGCGCTTCATAGCGACGATTCTGTATTTTCACATGCCAAAAAAAATCATCTAATAACTTTCGAAGTAAAAAAAATCTGAATTCAAGTTCGTAGTCAAAAAAAAGGATATTTTCAAAGTAAGTTAAAAAAAAAAGTGTAAGGAATTGTCCAAAGCGAGCTAAAAACGAAGCTGGTTTATTCTTAAAAAAAACCTTCAAAATATCTACTTTTTAAAAAAAAGTTAAGTCTGGTTCATCTCTTAAAAAAAATTTTACCACAGCATCGCTATTAAAAAAAATTAAGTACATATTTTGCAATAAATTTTCCGTGCTTCCATGACATTTGCTTAAAAAAAACGCCATTTTGAATAACAATTGAAAAAAAATCGTACCCAGGTTTCATCACGAAAAAAAATTGCGGAAAAGTGGGTCGGCATTGTTTTGCTTCACTTCGTTGGTGACAAAAAAAAAAACCGCGCCGTCGGAATATTCGAAAAAAAAAGAAAATGCTAATAGGATCTATAAAAAAAAAAAGCATTTCATGTCACAAGATCTTCATAAGATAAACCACATCACAGTCAAAAAAAAATTCCAAAAGGAAACTGGAAATAAAAAAAACGACTCGTAAGACGTTGAGTTAAAAAAAAGTTTTTGATTCAGTCTCTTCCAAAAAAAAAAGTTGTTGTTTTCACTCACTAAAAAAAAGCCGTTTCTCAGCATCTGCCAAAAAAAAAAACTCGATATCGATAGTATGGTTATCTGTCCAGCGAGTCAGTAGACAAATAAAAAAAACGCAATTTAATCATTTAAAAAAAAAAAAATATCAATACATTTAATATTGTAAAAAAAATACGTATTTATAATAGATTTTAAAAAAAATTTCTATCGATTTTTTTGCCGCGTCATTGCTATATTTGCGTTAAGCTAATAATTTGCATTCCCATTGAATCAAACATTGAAAAAAAAGGCAATAAATACATTTATTTGAAAAAAAATTAACATATTTTCCAACAATTTTTAGAAAGAAAGCTTCCGTTTTACAAATAAAAAAAAGTAAAAGTACAATTATCCATTAAAAAAAACAAAATTAACATTAAAAAAAAAAAAAAAACTCACCGTCATTGGTGCATATAAAAAAAATCTACGAAAGACAAAATCTCTAAAAAAAAATAAAATATACTACCTCTACAAAAAAAAATATTTTGCATATTAACAATATAAAAAAAAATGCATATAAGTATTACTTAGAAAAAAAAACAGTCTTTAGAACAGCTACAAAAAAAAACAAATGTTCCAATGTTTTCGAAAAAAAAAAGACCAGCATGAAGAAATCTGAAAAAAAAGAGAAAACAGGTCGATTTCGCAAAAAAAATCGTCAGTGTTCCAACTATATAAAAAAAATCTAATAAAAGGTTCCGTGCCAAAAAAAAAATTGTGCCACCAGTACTATCAAAACAAATAGTTGTAAAGTTTGTTTATGAAAAAAAATCTACCACCATATTTAAAAGCAAAAAAAAACATCTTGTCCTTTTCGCTCAAATTTGAGATGTTTGACGTCCCAGAGAAAGTCGAGGCTTTTGACATCGTTGAAATGGTACGAACACGCTTGTGTTTTGGAGGCGGTGTCCATGTCGAAGGCTCGTAAACAGACATGCTATCCAACGAATTTATCGATACCTTCACAKAGCTTTCATTTTCCGTGTTGCATGAATCAAAGGAATCCTTCTTGCAATTTGCTTTCTTCTTTTTGGCAGCAATAAATGAAAAGCAAAAAAAAATTACGAAGATAACAAGGAAAAAAAAAAAATGTTTCCGCCTCAGTCACTAACCGTTTTCTGAATGAGTCTTTCTATGCTGAAAAAAAAATGTGGGCGCCAATGACATGACCCCTGAGCCATAACTCGCCACGTCACGGAAAAAAAACACTTTCTTGACCAATCAATGTTCAGATTACAAGCCAATTCGCGGCACATAAAAAAAATACAAAACCGCACTCAAACATAAAAAAAATCGGGGACATTTTTGGCGGGAAAAAAAAATTTATTAGTTTCCTATAACAGAAAAAAAATATCTCAAAGCAAGTTTTCATAAAAAAAAACAAGAAAGCGTCTGTGATTGAAAAAAAATCAGTATTTTATTGTAAATTTAAAAAAAAGTCGTAATTTCCCCATCGAGCAAAAAAAACCTTTTTGATTGGTAATCTGAAAAAAAAAGAATCCTGTGCGACCCCTAGCAAAAAAAAACTATGCAGTTGCACGTATAAAAAAAAAAACATCAGCGAATCACGTTGGAGCAGCATTAAATGATGCAAGAGTTCACAATGTTGTTTTGACCGAGGAAAGGATTGGTCAAAAAAAACTTTATAGGAGGTATCCCTTCAAAAAAAACTGAAGGCTTCAGAAACGAATAAAAAAAATCTTCGCATACTGGGACAATGAAAAAAAATATTGTAAAATGCGTCAATCTAAAAAAAAAGCACTTGGCTTTGTTATTGAAAAAAAAAAGTATAGCAGACGAGATCGGGATAAACTTGTTTTTGCCAGGGGATTTTACTATGTTTTGTCAATGTGTTGACAGATGGAAAAAAAAATCAGACTACGGGCACTGCCCTAAAAAAAATGGAAGAAAGCCTCTTTTTCCAAAAAAAATGAATCCAGTAACTTGTCTGAAAAAAAAACAATGTCTGCACTATTAATGTAAAAAAAACGTGTTTTCACTTATGAATTGAAAAAAAAAAAAATGCTTATAAGCCGGAAAAAAAAAAGTTTATAGTCGTCCCGTTGCAAAAAAAAATACGCCTGTTCTAACCGGACTAAAAAAAACTGAGTGTGTGATGGGACTTTAAAAAAAAGATTCCACTACAAAATTTCAAAAAAAAAACGAGAGATCAAGGCGAAGCGGACAGTTTCAAAAGTGCAAATAGCTTAGTAAACTGAAATTTGTTGTCAAACATGTCYTTAAAAAAAACAAAAGAGAAACAAAGCCATAAAAAAAAAGCCGGATCGTGTTCCTGTTTCAAAAAAAAAACTTGCCATAATTATTGTAAAAAAAAAATGTCATAAACATACGCGCAACAAAAAAAAACTGTAGTCAAACATATCATCAAGAATTTCCAAGCCCTGGCTGTTCAAATAAAAAAAAAAAGCCTATAGAGTCATATCAAAAAAAAAGTGAGAAAGGAAGGGAGATTGAAGTAGAGAGGAAGGAAGCCAAAAAATAGAAAAAAAAGAATGATGATAACGAAATAATAAAAAAAAGAAAACAGACAAAAGGGGAAAAAAAAAAATCTGTAAGCGAAATAAGTGCCAAAAAAAATAAAAAAAAGGAACGCTACAGAAAAAAAAGCCAAAAATAGGGGCAGATAGAAAAAAAAGGGGGATTGCATAACGATAAAAAAAAAAATTTTTGCCGCCGAACGTAATTAAAAAAAAAAGAAAAATAGTTTGAATAGAAAAAAAAATCATCAGAGACAAAGCTATATAAAAAAAACATTGAATTGGGCCTTGAAATAAAAAAAACATGRCCGGCTTGCTAGCGTTAAAAAAAACTGTCATGCAGTAGTCACATCAAAAAAAAGCCGCTGCATGYTAAGRCATGAAAAAAAAATGATGCAACTAACGAGACCTAAAAAAAACAAATGGGATACAATAATGTGAAAAAAAAGATCGAGCGCAAATGAATGTTTCTAAGCGAAACAGTCGCCATGAAAACGTAAAAAAAATTGTYATCYATAAAATGCACAAAAAAAAAGTTCATAATTACGAGATACAGAAAAAAAACACCAATCATAACATTATATAAAAAAAAAGTCTCGTATCTTCGGGTACTCAAAAAAAAACTCATATATCCATTCAGTATAAAAAAAATTCAAAACACTTGAAAAGTCGAAAAAAAAGCATTCCTTATTTATCCCGGGAAAAAAAAGGTCTTTATTCATCCCGGGGAAAAAAAAAGGGGAGATATCCTAGAATGGAAAAAAAAACCTGTGCCAGTGCAAGTCTGTGGCCCGTCTACGGACTCCTAAAACTTTGTAAAAAAAACGAAATGGGAATAGTTGGTACAAAAAAAACTGATCAGAATACGAGTTTTGAAAAAAAAAAGGTTCAGTTGTAGTTTACAAAAAAAAAAAGAGGAAGGCAAAGGTGACAAAAAAAAAAGTGCTAATTCATCGTTTACAAAAAAAAATGCAAAACGGAAGTGTAAGAAAAAAAAAAAAAATGTTTGCGTTTCCACTTAAAAAAAACTTCATTAGTCTTGCCTTTTCAAAAAAAAAGATTAATAAGTCAGACTTTTGCTGAAGCTTTTGAGCAACCTGAGCCTTAAAAAAAAAGCCCGATATCTCGTTGTCACCAAAAAAAAGACGTGTGGGTGTTCTTGTGAAAAAAAAAAATATATTTTATCATTCAATAAAAAAAAAAAGTTTTAATCAGATATTCACAAAAAAAATTTTGGAACACTCAAATCATAACCGTGTCCGTTTGAATATAAACTCAGATAAAAAAAAAAACTTTGTTGCCATGCAGCTGAAATGAGCCGGCTTCAAGTACGGGGCTAAAAAAAAAAAACCTGATATCACACTCTTAAAAAAAAACTTCTGCCATATTACATCATCAAAAAAAAACATGCAGACAGGAGAAAACAGATATTATACTGATAGACGGACAAAGTCCAAAAAAAATCGTCACGAGGTTGCGAAGAGAAAAAAAAGGATTAGAACTATTTTCGGTTAAAAAAAACAGCCTGTCTTTCACGGATAAAAAAAAAAAATATTATAATCAAAATCGAAAAAAAAAATTGAAAACGTTTCTTTTACTAAAAAAAAAAAAACAACAGGATTCGCTCACAAAAAAAATATGACGATATATACAACGTAAAAAAAAATTCCTTGGGTGGTTCACGATTAAAAAAAATGCCGAAGAACTTCTTTATAGAAAAAAAAATAAAACGAACGATTTAGATTAAAAAAAACGGAAGTAGCTATTTTTAAATAAAAAAAAGCGGAAAACTGGCTATAATTGAAAAAAAATATTGGCAGTTTGGGTAGCTTAAAAAAAAGGGCGTTGTCAGTGACTCGGGAAAAAAAAGTACGGAAGATCTATGTTTAAAAAAAAAACTCGCCCTCAGATCGTGTGAAAAAAAAAAAAAGGGTCCGACCTCGCTCCCAAAAAAAAAAGGGCTTGGGTACTAGGTTTAAAAAAAACCTTACCTTATCAAACCGGATAAAAAAAATTTTTCTGATAAAAGTGAAAAAAAAAAAATAATTTCTTTGCCATCAGTGATGAATAAACAGCAAAAATATGTCATTATGAAAAAAAAGTATAGTAGTGTTATTACCATAAAAAAAAGCTTGATCTTTTTCATCTTTGAAAAAAAATTGAGCCATCTCTTGCATTCTAAAAAAAACTGTCAGATTCTGTGTTTCAAAAAAAAAACGATTTTTTTGTCCATAATCTAAAAAAAAACAGATGAAATTGAAACTTTAAAAAAAAATCTTTGAAGTCAATCTTTGCGTCAAATTCTTACCTGTTCGCTGTCCAGCTAAAAAAAAATGGTCCTGTTCAATTAAAAGAAAAAAAAGATATTTCATGTCAGAGATGTAAAAAAAAAAAATAATAAAGATAGTTTTTAAAAAAAATGAGTATCAGGCTCTCTCGAAAAAAAAAAGGGCAGCAAACCATATTTGGAAAAAAAAATAATCTTATTGGGCTATACTTAAAAAAAAGTTGTCTGTTGAATTGACATCACTATGACTTTTTCCTTTGTAATTTTGCTAAAAAAAAATGTTAAACCATTAATAATAATGATAAAGCAACAAATTTTGTACATCGCACATTGGGACATATTAGCAATTTAGATAATAAAAAAAAAAATGTCTATCACATATTCAAAAAAAAAAATTTACCTGTGACATTTTTCTAAAAAAAAGATTCATTTTCCTTTTTCTTGAAAAAAAATGGTTTAATATAGAATTCAAAAAAAAAAAGATTAACTTGTAATCGTTTGCAAAAAAAATGAAAAGAAAGCTTTTCTGCAAAAAAAAATTTCTTCTTATCTATAGGTTATCAAGGAATATACTCTCAGACAAACAGACAAAAAAAAGCCGTAGCTAGTAAGAGGCCAAA